AAGTCCAGAAGCCTTAAAAGTCATCAAAGTTGGAGATCCCACTTTTAAAAGGGAGAACCTGACATCCGGGGGGGGGGGGGGGGGAATGATTTCGGCAGCCTTCTTAAAAGCGGGACTTTCCGGCTTGGCCCCTGGCAGTGGTCCCTGCCCCTCCTGAAGGGCCCGTTTTCCCCCCCTGACAGATCTCTGCCTACGAGAAGGAGGTCTCCGGGCTGCGTCGGGAGCTGCTGCACGAGATCCGTCAGCTGGAGGAGCAGAAGGAGGCGGCTGTGCAGGAGGCTTCCCGGGAGGCCGAGGAGAGAGCCCAGCCCCTGCGCACGCAGCTGGCAGGTATTGGGGGTAGTGGGGGGCAGATACCAGACTACAGGGAGGGGGAGATTCCCCAGTCCCCCACCCCCAGGGAAGGGAGAGCTCCTGGGAGCATCTTGAGAGGATCCCTGTTTGCGGAGAGCAATTTGCTCTTTGGAGCAACTACAGACCTGCCTGGCCTTCTCCTCTCCACCCCACATTCCGTCCCCCCCCCACCAGGAATGAAGCAGCATCTGCACACCCTCCGCCCCCTCCTCCAAGGGCTGCAGCTGGACTTCCGGAACATCCAGGGGGAAATGGGGAGTTTTGCCCACTGTTACAAAGCCGCTGTGGAGGAAGCCAAGATGCAGGTGAGAATGAGATGCAGGTGAGGCTCAGCCAGGGGAATTCTGGGAGTTGAAGTCCACACACCTTCAGGATGCCGAGGTTGAGAAGGACTGGTGTCATGGCCAGGATATGTGTGTGTGTGTGTGAAAAACCCCATGTTTTCTGCAAGGGGGGGGCAGTCGCTGCATTGTGCTTGTTGGAACGGAAAAGCAGATCGTGGTGAAGGGAAAGAGGAAGGAGAGAGTGGCAGGGTAAAAAAGAGGAAAAGAAAGTGGAGAGGACCAGAGGGATAAAATCCAAGCAGGGAGTCTGCGGTGGGGGGGGAGGCAAAATCCACGCAATTGACACCCCTGAACCCATAAAAACAAGTTGGGGTGAGCCTTGCAGGACACCAAATACTCCTTCAGGGCTTAAACACCCCAGAGGAGAGACATTAATTTTTAAAAATGTTAAAAAAAAAAAAAGATGAAATGTAAAGAAAATCGCCCTGATACAAAAATTATGCGGAGACTCTAGAAAGAGAGCAGAGAAGAGCAAGAAGGATGATTAGGCACAGTGTTTCTCAACCTTGGCAACTTGAAGATGTCCGGACTTCAACTCCCAGAATACCCCAGCCAGCATTCGCTGG